ATGATGGTCTCCCAATCTTTTCAAAAGCAAAGCGTTAGGCAGAGGTGTCCCCGTCCAGCAGGCTAAAACTTTCTCATTTGGTGAAAGAAAAGAGCCCTATGGCCCTGCAAACCTTCCAGCCCATTAGTTGTCCCTGGACGGGCGTTGGAAAAACAACCATTTGCAACATTTCATTTTGGTTCTGAAGAGTTTTCAAACAAAAATAACACAAACAGATCGATTTGGGGGAGAAGGACAGTTTTAGCTTCTAGGCAAAGTGATCACTAAAGCTGCAAGGTGGCAGAAGAAGAAGCCGGTCTCTCTCATTCCTTTTATGGGGTGACTTGAAGGTTGTAAAAATTATCTATTTCCCAGGTCCTCATTCATTTAGTTCTGTGGTTCTTTACGTTTCCTTAAGAGAAGGTTGCCCACAGTCACTCTGTGCTCAGTCTCAGTTCTGTTCCTAGGAAATGTCCCCAACCTCTCTGCCTGCGTCTGACACAAGGGTGGGGGGCGGGGGAAGGTTAACGGAGAGTTCCAGAAAGACGGCAAATAATTTAGGCTTAGGAAAACCAGGCACACTTTTGACACGAGGAGGAGAAACAGTTCTGAAAAACACAGAGTTGAGGATTGGGTGGCGTCTGGGGTAACAAAATCGATTTTTGCGGGACTGGCGCAGCCGGGGAAGGTGAAGTGCATGGGAGATCATCGCCCCCAGGAAGTGCTTGTTTGAAACAACTCTCTAAAATCGTTTGGGCGTTGCTGTAGTTTAGCCCATGCAACCAGCTGGCAGGCAACTGGGAAGCACAGCCTGGGCCCAGTCCTCCTTCAGAGAATGAGAAACACTCTGTATATTAGCTACATGTTCACAATGTACCTACTGTCCGCCTCTCCTCAATGGCGGAGCTAGACAAGGATGCCCAGCATCTTTGCATAGATTTTTTAAAAAGCAACAACAGGAGAGAGGGAGGAAGAAAAGGGAAGAACCTGTAGGGTATTTGGTGGGAGGGGAGCGTGAAGCACTTTGCCACGGTCTGCTAAGTATTCCCAGTAGAATGTTTCTAGTCCCTTCTCAGAAGCCAACATCGTAGAAAAGTTTGCTTTAGAAACTGCTACCTGCCTCTGGATTTGGAGTGGGATTTGGATAAACCCGTGACGCTTTTTGGACTGCTCCGGCTGCCCCGGCCCCTATCCCTTCCCTCCAGCATTTCTCCAGATCACTGCTCCCTCTCACTCATCTGGCTGCCTCAGGCCAACCCAAATCTTGCAGGCCCTACTTCGAATTGAGGGTCTGTCTGTGGTCCTTTTGGGGGTGCCCCACCCCGCTGGGAGTTCAGGGCCGGACAAGGCTCTGCGGGTCTGAGAACTCACAGAGACACTGGCGGAGGGTGATGAAAAGCATTTGAAAAGCTGCCTGTGGGGGCAGGGGGATGACGCGCCCCCCACCTCCTGCAAACCCAGCGCGTCCAGGGCCGCAGCAGCTGCTAGGTCAGACCGCGCTCCTGACTTAGCAGAAACCTCAAGACGCATCCCCACCTGGCACAAAATACAGATCTCTGGCTTGATTTCACTTTTATTAATTTCTATTTTAACTGCGTGAAGGGGTGGAAATGCAAAGGAAAACCAAAACAACTCTAAGGCAGCCTCATGGAAGTGTGTGCGGGGGGGGGGGGGGGGTCGGGGGGGTGGCACAGCAGAGGGTGTAGGGGGACCTTCCTCTGTCCCCAAAGGTCCTGAAAGAAACCAGCCAGGAAGGAGGGAGGCGCCGATTTCCTGCGCGGACCCTAAAGCACAAAGTGGGCCATGTAGGGGCAAGGGGATGGTGTGGATTTTGGGGGACGCTCGGTGGGGTGGGGTTGCGGCAGGGGCCAAGCCTCCGAGGCGGGGGAGGCGGTCAGCGAGGGTGGCGTCCAGGACCGGAGCGCTCAGCGCCCACCCCCGCTGCCCACGCGCCCCCCGCCCGCGGGTTCCATCTGGAGTCCGGCTAACACCTATCACCCGAAGTCGTCTCCGCTCTCCGTCCTCTAGCCCATTCCACGCGCCGCTTCTCCTTATTGACTCCTCCGTGTCTCTCGGCAACTTGTCATAACCTGCAATCGAGGGCCCTCTCTGGCGGGAGTTAAAGTCCAGAGGGCAGCGCTTCGATTCGCAAGTGATAGCCGAGCAAAGGACGCGCGGCCTCCCTTTTGTCTGCCTCTGGGTTTAACTCCTGCGGGGCCGGGGTCCCATCGCGGGGGGGCCGCAGCCCCAAAGCGCAGCCGCCTCCCCCAGCTCCCGGCCCGGCCTCGCGGGGACCTCGGAGGACCAAGTTTTGGGCCTCGGGGGCTGCGCGCACACATCTCCCCCCAAATCAGAAGAGCTCGTTTGCATATTTTCTTTTTAATCGGAAGGGGGCTTGACCAAGAGGAACAAGGGAATGGGGACAAGGAGGAAAATGTCGCGGAGGCCACTTCGGCCAGCATGCCGGGAGCTCGCGCCCCCCACTTGGTAGTTCACTGGTTGAAACCATTTCTTCGAGATTTTCTACCCCGCATGTGAACGTTTCATTTGGGGGGTGGGGCTCAGATTTCATCTCACGCGAAGTACGGGAGAGCGCCAGGGCTCGGCGCCCCGCAAATGGCAGGGAGTCGCGGCGTCCTGCAGGCTGTCTGGTCAGGTGAGCCCTCACAGCACCAGGGAGCGTGCCTGACCTTCGCATCCTCCTCACTGAGGAGTGCCCTGCCCCGTTCTCTGGGGCACCCCCTCTCCCACCCCCAAGATGGATTTAAAAAGCGCCTGTCCCCATTTCCCCTTACCCGGCTGTCCCCAGAGAAGTCACCCCAAGGCTCCCTGACATTCTTGATTTGTCTCCTAATGCTGGTGACAGTGGGAACTTGATGGCTCTGATGTGACCCCTTGGGGAGGAGGGATTAGGAAGGCAGATAGGAGGGGACAGTGACGGAGAGAGAGGAACCGAACCAGGGCCCCACCGCTGCCTTCCTGGGGCCCTACTTTGTGGCCGGTGTGTTTGTTTAAAGATGGAGGTAGAAAGGCCCCTCGTGAACATGGCGTCTCAGTGTCTCCCCACCCCCATCCCTGGAGCCCCATCCCCCAGAACCCCTCTTCCAGGTCCCTAAACAAGGAGGGGCCGTGACCTTATTGTCACCCAGCTGTGACACAGAAGCAGCCCTGCTTTCCTTTGCCCCTAGATCTGCTACTCTCCCTTCTAGGGATGTCCCCAAGGGAGATGCTGTCCGACTCCGGCCTGTGTGACAGCTTCCAGACTTGCTGGGCCCACCCTGCTCCCAATTCACACACTTGCGGCTAATTTCTTTCTGTGCCAAGAAGCTAGTGAAACCTTAAAAACAATATTTTCAGAACCCAAACCGCATTTCATTCCCTGCGGGGAAACCTGCAGAAATCGGCCAGCTGAAAGGGGCCGGGGGTCCCCCTTTTCGGCAGGGGCTGGGGGGATGTGGGTGGGGGAGGGAAGGGTTTATCTCATAACCCGCAATAAGAGAGGGGAAGTAGAAAAATTTGATTTTGGAGTAAGGGTTATTTGATATTCCTGCACATAAACTCCATCCTGTTCAGTTAAGGAGGGAAAAATCCATTTCAATCCTCTGCATCAGGAAAGCCCTGGTGAGAGATACCTTGGGGAGAAAGTTGAATATGTCTAGAAAAACTTAAATGGTGGGGGTTTATATCCCCAAATTAAAAAAAAAAAAAACAGGAGTGAAAACATAGCAAAATGCACTTGTGATTGAGGAATTATTTTAGGAATATTCGATTGCATTGTTGATAGTAATTTCCGGCCTCTCTTTGTTTTTACTTCTCAAGGCTGGCGGGTGGGTCTCTGCATCTTAAAGTGGTACTTAGCCATCAGTGGTACAGGTGTTGTTGCCTTGATGGAGGTGGTTGTTACTGTCCCTTTTAATCTCTGGACAAAGCCTGACTCCTTCCTCCCCCTCCCACCGAGTGTCCTACTTTTGTAGAAACTATGAGGCTGTAGATCTCAGAAACAGCACTCATTTTAAATACCGTTCCAAAATATTCAGGACAAATTGGAGAGTCCCGAAAATGATGGCCCCGTTCTCTGCAGGGTCTACTCAAAACGAAGCCATTTGGGGTACAAAAAAGCCAGCAAATGTCCTGATGCGCCAAAAAAAAAAAAAGAAGAAGAAAGAAAAAGAAAAAGCAAAGTGTGTTCTGCCCACTACCTATTTCCATTGGAATGTGAATAATGGCTGCAGTTATCAACGAGGCCTGGCTTGATTTATCTTGGTTAATAGGATTAGCATGTCAGCCCCTCTCAAGAATTTCCTAGTGCGTGCGGATCCAGGGTGTCACGGAGGCGCTGGTGTCTTTTTTTCCTCTCCGATGGGCATAATGACGCACCTACAAGCAGAGGGCTTTGGCCCTCACAGAGCAGGCAGATTATCTGTCTACAGTGAAATAAGGCGTGTTGTGGCCACCTTTGCCAACACGCCAAGCCAGAACCCAGTCACTATAAAATAATCCTGTCACCACCACCTGCCCCGTGCCCTGCTCCTGTCTCATTTGTCTCCTGACTGTAATTGAATGGTTGAAAAGCAAAAACGGAGACAAATTCCAGCTGTATGGCGATTTGTTTCTTCCTCCCCTACCTTGGCCCATCATTAGGTATTTTCCCTCTTTGTGCGGCAGGTCAGAGGGTATAAATATAAATTGCATTTTGCATTACTTCTGGATGAGTGAAGCTGTCAAAGCAATAATACGAGCTTTCAGTCCCGCATTCGACCACTTCTTTCCCATATTTTGGCCAGGAGGTCATGTGCAAATTGAACGTGACAACCCAGAAGACATGTCCAACGGACTCGTGTTGTCACTGCGTTCAGCTGCCTAGCTCATAACGACGTTAAAGCGCATTAATCTCCTGCCGAGGCCTGGCAGGAGCGAGGTCTCTCAGAAAGTTCTCATCAGTGGTGACATTGCATCTGAACGTCGTAGGCTGCAGTGACCTACAATATTTTGCACCTAAGACTTGTGAGGACATGATGCTTAGAAAGACCGGGCCAGCGTGAACAAGGTGAAGAGTTAAGGCCCCTTTAACACACGCTTGCACGCACACAGAAACTGGGGAATACACAAGCTTCTATTTGAATTTATGCTATATTTTCAGGCTCCGATAGCAATGGGGTTGAAAATCATTTCCATTGTTGTTTGCACAATGGAGATGTCAGTCAGGAAGGCCCCTTAAAAATATGATTGACCTTATTAGCCCTGCATAACAAAAATTATAGTTAGAGCAATTTATTATCTTCCTCATTAAAAGATAACCCTCCTGAGATCACAGGAGTCAGAAACTTCTGTCCATCTGAAAAGACCTAAATGTCTCGGCGGATTAGTAATTGGCTACCGACGTGACCCCTCCGCGTCTCGCCCAGATTGCGGAGAGCTGGTGTTCGCTGACAGGGTGTTTGATGATTTCTAGACGCGGCGCGGCTGCCTCCGCTCCTGTTCCAAATGGGCAGGTGTCTACATCAGAGTTGGCAACCTGGTTGGCACGCTCTGAGCGTGGCCCAAGAGCGGATGGTTGATGGGGAATCAACTTCCTTCCCTTCTGTGATGCTGGTGTGGGGACAGGGCAGAAATGAAGATGCTGGAGGTGGAGGTGTTGATGTGGGTTTGTGCAGCGGAGGCAGGCGGATGCCCTTTGGTTCCGAGGGGCTCCGTAGGCAACCACGTCTGTCCTGCATCTGTCTGTCCCTTCACCAGGTTGTACTCAAGTACGCAGACAAAAGTCCTCCAAAGGCACTTCATCTTTGCTAGGATGCTCATGTCGGTCTGCGTAAGTCCAGTAATATACACCGAGGGTTCCTTTTACACTCTGTTAAATAAGCATTCTTGTCATTCATCTTTGTCTTTCTCAGAGGAAGCCCCCCTATTTCCACCTCCTCTGTATGTGAGATGAACTGTACGTACTTAAGATTAAATGCAAGGAGATGGTAACTGGCCCGCCGCGTCTGGGAGCACCGGGTCCCTCGTAGGAAAGAGCCCTATGTCCTCGGTGGGTAAAGTCACTTTTTACCCCATTGCACGTAAGTGGTGACTCTCAGCCCTGTCATTGTGTTTCCTCTGAGTTCACTCTCCCTCATAATCCTCGCATTCCCAAGTTACTATTCACACACGTGACTCATTTCCTAAGTGTTATGATAAAGCAAGGTATGAGCCAGATTCTCAAGAAAGAAAACAAAACCATGATAACGCCCCCAGATCTGAAGTCCTTTTATTGTCTAACATCTATTGTGCTTTCACAAGTATTGAAGTTGTTTTAAGCTTGAGGAATGATTAAAAGGGAGAAAGAAACAAAGGGGAAAACGAACCACTTCTGACTATAAATTAAAGCAAAATTTAATTCAAAACATTAGATAACAATACACTTAAAACCTGTAATTTTATTAACCAGTGTCGCTCCAACAAATTTATTTTAAAAAATTAAACAGTGAGACAGCTGTGTAGATATAGAAGAGATTTGTGTTTAATTTGGGGTAACTTTTCAGGGTGTCGTGGTTCTGAAGAATATTTACTGTCTCAGAATTTAAAAGTGTTAAGCTTCCGGTCACAAGATGTTATAGTTTTACTCCTTCGTCCTAACTTTTCCTTTCTCTTCCTAGTGAAATACTTGTATAAATCTGGCATCGATTTTTTGTTTCCTTTTACTCCACAAAGTGCCAGAAACTGTAGCCATGCAGATCAGCGAGTCTAACTCCTCCCCTCCTACGAGATGCATTTTGTGACCGTGGCACATCAGTTATTTCTCTGGGCCTCGGTTTTTGCATCTGTAATATGGGGATATTTTTTAATCTACAGGTCTGCTGAAGGTGTCATAGCATAACCTGCTCTCTGTGTCCCTGGAAAAAGAATTAGTTCTCAGTAAACCACCATGATTTCCACCGATGCTGGTGATGGTAGAACCCCTGTAAGTATGGAGCCAAAATGCTGATACCATAACGCTACGTGAAGCGTTCGGGATGGTGGCTAAACGGAGCAGGCTTTCAGTAGTTGGGGGGTGGGTCATTGTTGTTTCAGTCAGAAAACCAGTGGAAATGGGGGAAATACTCACTTTGGGGAGGAAATCCATTATTTTTTTTAAATTTTGTTTTCTTTTATTGATTCTAGAGAGAGATGAAGGGAGGGAGAAAGAGAGGGAGAGAAACATCGATCACTTGCCTTGCCAACACTCCCTGACCAAGAACGAGGCCCAAAATCCAGGCATGTGCCCTGCCCGAGAATCGACCCCGTGACCTGTGGTTTGCAGGATGATGCCCAACCAACTAAGCCGTGTTGGCCAAGGTGGGAAGTCCATTCTTCAAGGGTTCCAGTTGGTGGTTCTCTGTTTCTGGGTGTAGAGGCTTAGTTGGCATGAATGAAGCTAAGGTTGGGAATGGTCACCCTTTGTCCCGTGACTACAGCCCGTGATCCCTTCCTTCTCACAAGTCCATCCCAGTAGGTTGAGGTGAGAGTCCCCAGCAAGAGCCAGTGAAGGGGCCGGCCCAAGTCTGCCTCTACCACTGAAGGAAACAGTCAAAGCCAACTCAGATAACGTATTCCAGCAACCCAACACTCTGTCTTGAGATCTGGAGGGTGTAGAGAGTTGGGGTATACGGCTTGTGTCCTGACATTATTAATTCACTTCCAAGAAAAGGATCAAGGCCTTCCAGAGTCTGCAATGAAGGATAAACCATGGTACTGTTGACAGACTCATTCCGAAGGAGAACAAAACAAAGGAACCAGTAGGAAGAGCCAGACACTCCTTAGAAAACTTAACTCTCCCTGGGAAGGAGACATTGGCCCTAGTTCATAGGGATCTTCACACTGAGCCAATAATTACATTGTACTGAGGCCTTTGCACAGGGTCCCTATGTCGTGAATAACATTTCATGTTGCAAATAATGTTCATTCTATTCCTTGGAAGGTTTTCTTGTGCCAGAGTTCATGGGTATCATCTCCCCAGAGGGGTGCGGGGGTGGAGAAGAATTGGAAGTTTGCTGTTTGTTTATATTGCTTTTTTTTCTATTACCGTTGATCTCCTTCTGCCCCCTTCTACCCCCACTCACTTTCCTCCAAACCATGTATGTGTCCTGGCTGCTTCTGCACATAAAACCAAGCGTTCCTTGAGTGATTAGGTGGAAAACCAGTTCATCACTGGAAGCCCTGTTCCTCGTGCATTGATTGGATCAGGCATGTTCATGCCCAGCGATGTTTAAAACTTCTAATCTCCCCACTTCAGCAACAAAGCTGAACAGCATCCAGTTCACTCCATTCTCTCTCGACATGACTGCCTTGTTCTGAAAGAGCACATTGGATTTAGTAAGAATGAAAATGCAGACGAGGAGAAGCAACTTCTCTACCCAGTCATTGCCGAAGACCCCCAGGGCCAAGCACTTGGTGTCTGCCAGTCGCCTGCTTTGGCGACCAGGGGGAGCAGCTCCGATGACAAGCCCACAGATGGATGCGTCGTGTGATTAATGGCAGCTGCCGGGCCTGGTGGTGGGAGGGCAGAAAATGGTAAGAGCCATGAGCGAGCCCCCTTTTCAGTTTAATGCTCCTTCCAAGGTTTGGAGTAGGGAGGGATCAGGAAAAATTCCAGCCCCCTTTCTCTGCGGGCAAAACTGAAGGCGGCACCCTTTTCCTTTCTTCAGTGTTGCTGGCCAACACTGGCCCTTTCATGGGGAGGTGTAGTAACTTCTTGATCAGCTCATCAAATTATATTCTTCCTTCCTTCCTTCCTTCCTTCCTTCCTTCCTTCCTTCCTTCCTTCCTTCCTTCCTCCCTCCCTCCCTCCCTTCCTTCCTCTCTCATTTTGCTTGCTCTTTATTTTCCCCTTACCTCCTCTTTCTCCTTTTCCTCCCAAGCCCTGCCTCACTTTAGCAACCTCCGAGTTCAAGCTTGCCCATGAGAAGGGGCTGTCCTCAGGGTCTCTGAGGGACAGGTGAGATTGTGCCAAACTGGGAAGCACTAGAACAGGTAACCTGAGGCCCTCGGCAACCCCCAACCCAGGCCCTCTGAACAGACCCGGCTCAGGAGCATCGAATGCATCAGGGTTGCAGGAGTCTGTTTCAATTTCGCTCATTTGTTTGTCATTCCTTGGATTCCACATGTAAGTGAAAATCGTAGGGTATTTGTCTTTCTCTGATTCACTTATTGCACAAAGGCTATAAAACGTGAGAATTTGAATGAGCGGCTCTGGGGCAAGCAACAGGGTCACGAACCAGCCAGCTGCTCAAGAGGGAAAGAATAGATACAAGAAAAAAAGATTCTGACCGCTAATTCAATGGTATTTTCTGCAACTACCTACGTTAATTCATGAATTAAGTATGCAAAACGTTTTTTAAAAAGGATAAAGGATACCAAGATTCTACCATTTGAAATGGGCCAAACTTGAAAATTGCCTCAGAATCACACCCCAAGTTGAGCGTTTTTCCCTGTGATGGCTTAAAACCTAACTTCGCTTTTCAGAACATATGAGAAAGTTGTAAAATCAAAATATGGAGAAGATAGGAAAGGGTGGAAAAATCTTCCTTCAGTTCTGTCTCCAAGCCCCTCCCACCCAAACTCACCAATGCCCATTTCTAAAATGAATAGACTTTTGCAGAGATCAATTTTAGGTTTTTAGAAAAATTGAGTACAGGGTATGAGTAGGAGGTAGAAAATATGAGAAAGTATATATATATATTCTCTCACACACTTCCCAACCTTTTCCCCCTATTACTAACACTTTGCTTTAGTGTGGTATATTTGTTATAGCTGGTATAATATTGTGGGCTAAAGTTCATTGGTTAGGGTTTGGTTTTTGGCATTGTGGGTTTGGGCAAATATATAACGATATGTATGAATTCAATTATGTTTCACTGCCCTAGAAATCTCCTATGTTCTACCTCTTCATCACCCCTCTCCACAAAACTTCTGGCAATAGCTAATCTTTGTACTGTCTCCATAGTTTTGCCTTTTCTAGGATATTCTACAGTGGAGATCTTACAGGATGTAGCTGTAACAGACTGGCTTCTTTCACTTTAGTAACAGGCAGGTAAGATTCCTCTGTGTCTGGTCGTGGCTTGACAACTCATTTCTTTTTATGGTGTGTAATATCCCACGGTCTGGATGAACCACAGTTTGCTTGTCCGTTCACTACTGAAGGATATCTTGATGGATTCTACATTTGGACAAATGATGCATCGGTCTGCTGTAAACATGTGTGCAGGGTTTTTTATTTTTTTATTTTTTTTATTTTATTTTATTATTTTTATTTATTTATCTTTAGAGGGGAAGGGAAGGAGAGAGGGGAGAAATAGTTTCGGGCAGGTTTTTATGTGGATGTAAACCTTCGGCTCCTTTGGACATGACTACTGGATCATATGGCATGAGTATGCTTAGTTTGGCAAGTCATTACCGGGCTGTCTCCAAACCCAATGTCGTTTTGGTGGTTTAAGGTCAATATCAGTATCTAAGTAAATAGATACTTTGCAAAGATGGAGACTCTGGTGGATGGTAGACATCAAGGCAAGAGCTACTCTCTAGAGCATGAGCTTTGTCAAGATTTTATGTATTTATTTTTAGAGGGGAAGGGAGAGAGAAAGGGAGGGAGAGAAACATCAATGTGTGGTTGCCTCTCACACGCCCCCTCCTGGGGACCTGGACCACAACCCAGCCATGTGCCCTGACTGGGAATCAAACCAGCGACCCTTTGGTTCGCAGGCCGGTGCTCAGTCCACTGAGCTGCACCAGTCAGGGAAGAGCGTGACCTTTAACACGTAGATACAGACAACAGTGTGGTGATAACTGGAAGGAAAGAGAACCTGGGGGTAGGTGGAAGTGAGCAAAGGTGGGGGTGGGGGGGAGTGGGGATGGAAAGAGACCTTGCTCGGGGCAGTGGGCTCACCATGCTGTGTGCAGGTGATATGTTGCGGAGTTGTGCACTTGAAACCTGTATGGTTTTACAAATGCATGTCACCCTAGTAAATTCAATATTTAAAAAAAAAAAGAGCATGGCCTTGATCAAGCTACAGGGGTTCACTTCTTGCCTTTGCTATTTGCTCTGGGACCTCAGGCAAGTTCCTTAGCCTTTCAATGCCTAGTTTTTCCTCAGGTGCACTTACACTTGGTGATTCCATACTCAGGCCCTAGGGTTCCAAGAACTACCTGAAATGTCCTGTGTTTGTCTTAGCACATCCCCAAATAGGTGCTCAGTAAATGGCATCTCTTTCTATACCTTCCTGCAAAACCCAGCATCTTCCCCCCGCAAACAGCCAGTGCATTTTTCAGTGACAAATCTCTGTAAGAGTACAGGCAGGAGTACCAATGGCAGAAAAATCTGGTCCTTGCAAAATCCGGGGAGAAAAGAAAACTATAGCAGCTAAAATATAAGGAAACCCAAATTAGAAAGAAACATAGGTTCTGGTCCAGGGATTAAATTCCCTCACCCTTTTCCCACTCCTGGTTCCCCTTAGTGACTTGCTGGCTGGAAAGCCTCTGGGATTAGGAAATGCCCTCTCTCTGGGGACCTGCCAAAGCCTGTTCCGCTGACACCCAGGCTAACCCTGCGCTGGCGGGTGGCAAGACACCTCCCTACCCCGAGGGCCTGACTCATCCCTGTCTTTCTTCCGTAGACAACTCCACACTCGCAGACAGAGGAGCCCCATTAAGCAATCCAAGAGGTAATCTTTTTCAATTTCTTTGGGCAATTCTTGTCTGATGACATAATGATAGATGCTAACAGTGAAAGCTAAAGGCAGTGTGGCTGTATCTCTTTGTATTGGCTTTATTTGGGAAACGCACAAACAAACCAGAAAAGGAACTGTCCCATGCTCACGCCTTATTAATAATCTACGGGTCACCACAATACCTACCTGCCAGGGGCCCGGAAGGAAGCCTTCGAGTGCGCGTCTACCAGCTGATTTACCTTTGTGGCAGCAGATAACTAGTTTCCCTGTTTTAACTACACGGACAGGGCTTAGGCATCAGGAGGTCAGAGCGTGTGGAATTAGTTTGAAAATGAAAGGGTACACAATGAACTTCAGGGCGTGCGGCAGAAAAGCAGGCACTCACTAATAGAGGTCTTACCACTAATTCAGGGCCTAGCATAGACATTCACATGTGCAAGTGCCCAATAGCTTTCTTACAAGTGACAGAGAGAGAAGGCAGGCAGAGGCAGGGGATCGGAGGGAGGGGGGAGGGAGGAATACGAGGTAATAGAAAGTGCAGGAAAAAGGGGATCACTATAGACATCTCCCTACTCTATGACAGTCCCCAAGTGCCCTGGCCCTTTTTTGTTGTTGTTTTCCTCTTTCCTCTCCCTTCTCCTCTTCACAGAAACACCAAAATGAAAACAGAAAGCAAATCATCCCTGTCTGAGTTACCCTGCAGACCCCGATTTGATCTGTCTGGGTTATTTTTTTAAAAGATTTCATTTATTTATTTTTAAAAAGGAGGGGGAAGAGAGGGAGAGAAACATCAGCGTGCAACCCAGGCATGCTCCCTGACTGGGAATCAAACCTGCAACCTTTGGGTTTGCAAGCTGACACTCAATTCACTGAGCCGCACCAGCCAGGGCAAAATACAGATTTTTTCATTTCAGGGTAGGGAAAAATCTTGCAGGACTTTCCCTAAGTCATTGGATAATTTCCTCTTGACAGTAACATTGCAAAAGTCAAAGGAAGGGCACAAGAAATTGGGATTCTTTGAAGCTGTGCATGTGGAGATGTACATTTTGGTAAAAATCTAGAGAAAATGTGGTCTTGGGATAGTTCCACATTTTCTTGATAATTTCATTTTATTAGTAACTCACACTTGAGGTGTCCATTTATTTAATAAAATAGGTGTCTATTCCATTTAATTAAAAAAAACTTGATTCTACTCTAGCGATGTAGAAATTGGAACAAAGATTGCTCAAATCTCCTTTAAGCTATTTCCTATAGGTTATAAAATTCCAAGCTGGACAGAGCTGTAACAGGGTGTATATGAGTGTGAATTAAGTTAAAAAAATCTTTTAAAAAAAGCTTTCCATTGCTTTTGATGAATTTCCCTTTTTTTGTGCAGAAAAATCAAGAAGATAAGAAAAATGAGAAAGGCCCTCATACAATAGCAGTATAGAAGAGCTAATACATGGTTATCTAATTTATCGTCTTCATCTCTCATTTGCTCACCTTCAGGAATACGGTTCAGGAACGCCACAGCTCCAGACCTGCACAAGAAATTGAGTGCAATGTAGATTCATTCACTCACGACGAGACATTTCAAAAGTTAGAATGACCAAATCTGGGCTGGAAAATAAGAGACATTTACTTAGGCATTAAAGATAGGTGCCGGGCCGCAAAACTGATAGACAAGGTCCCGTAAGAGACTGGGCGTCTCAGAGAAGTCAGTGTGGAGGAAATTGAAAGCAAGTTATAGGAAATACTTCTTCACTGGGTAGAATTTGTTCTGGGGAATTCGCTGCCATGGGCGGGCATAAAGTCAACCACAGGATAATGTAACACCCACTCTTCTGCCCAGTTGAGGAGGGCGGAAGCCATTCATTTGCCTGCTTTCAGGGGGTCACAATTGATTACAAGGTGGGTCAGCGAAAAAATACCCCCCCACTTGATCAGGATAATTAAAAAGTGTTTGCTCATGCTCATGTGTCCTAGAAATAGGAAATACGATATAAAATATCACAGACCTGACCAAGTAAGACAGATGTTTTTGGACAGGGTGAAAAAAATTAAATAATGTAAAAATCAAGTCCAGAAACAAATTAAAAATAGTCCTGAAATGTTTTTTTAAAGATTTTTATTTATTTTTTTACAGTGGAGAAGGGAGGGAGGAGAGAGAGAGAAACATCGATCGATGGCCTCTTGCAAATTCCCAACTGGGGGTCTGGCTCACAACCCAGGCACGTGCCGTGACCTGGAATCGAACTGGCGACCTTTCCGTTTGCAGGCTGGTGCTTAACCCACTGAGCCACACCAGTCAGAGCCTGGAATACTTTTTTTAATTGGAAGCATTTTTCTTCTGGTCATATGAATATTACACAATGTTTTCGTTTTTTAACCCAGCTCTCTGACACACATTCTCAGCGTACCTCTGCTGAACTTGCAAATAAATACTGTGCGTGAATTTCTTTTAATCCAAAGACATGGAGTTTAGTGAAAAAGGGTTGCATACCCAGTAAGTATTAAGGCCATGTGAACTTTGAGGTCGTGATGTCGAATATCAGTAATGAAGCCCGTTGACAACGTCATCACAGTTTTAATTCAGCTTTTTTGGCCCCCCTCCACCTCTTCCACGTATTTTTCTAGAAAATTTGGGGTCGTCTCCAGGACTACATTTCATGCTACTAGACATGTTGAAAGCAATCTCGCACCTTTGACATTCTAATCCAGAAGCTTCCGAAGGAGGAACCAGAAAAGCATTTTGTGTGGTTGGAGCCTACATTTCCATTCGGGGACGAAAGAATGTCACACAATCTACAAAAAGGGGGGGGGCAAGAAATATTGATTTAAAAATTACAGAGCAAATTAAAATTCAAAATAAGTCATTGTGAAATTTGGCCTTTGAGTTTCTAGGAAGCACAGAAGTGCTCAGAAAGCCTCCTTGCCACCTACTGGGAGCCAGGACGTGTTGCTGGCTTTAACGGACAAGGGAATGTCTAGCTTCATTATGCCGGTGAAGGAAAAAGCAAAAGAAAAGATAAAAAGTGTCCAGAAGTTCTTCCATGGTGCGCTGCCATCATCTGCAAGGGTCTTTAGAGTTTGGACATCCTTATTTTCGTAAGCACAATTTTTTATCTCAATATGCTTTTTCATTTGTTTTATCGTTGACACCATTATAATTGTCCCCATTTCTCCCCCCAGCCTTTGTCCCCTTCCGCCCAGCCCCGCCCGCCCTCTGGCCATCCCCACACTGTTGTCTGCATCCGTGGGTCAGGCGTGTATGTTCTTCGGTTAACCCTTCCCCTTCTTTCACCCAGTGCCCCCCAGCCCCTCCCCTCTGACAGCGGTCTGTCTGCTCCATGTGTCCACGCCTCTGGTTCTATTTGGTTCATCAGTTTATTTTGTTCTTTGGATTCCACCGAGAAGTTCAATCACATGCAAGTCTTGCTCTGACTGGCTCATTTTACTCAGCAGCATAATCTCCAGGTCCATCCGTGCTGTCGCCAAAGATAAGAATTCCTTTCTGTTTGCAGCCGCATAGTGTTCTGTTGCATAAGCGCGTGTTATTGAAACACTGCCCTGCCCTCAAAGTGAAAAAGATAAGAGCAGATAGCTCCACGTGAATGTCAAGGGAGTTAGTTCTCCATGGTTGCTTGACGATGGCTGGGTTGGAAGTTCCCCGGCAGATTCCTGAATCGGAGCCTGGGCCACCCCCTGCTGGAAGCATTCCTGGTGGCGCGAGCCCATCTATGGAGCAAGAATAGCTGGGGCCCAGGCCCAGCCCTGCCTCTCGTCAGCTGGGTCACCCTGGGCACACCATTCCACTCCCCTTGCCTCAGCACCCTCATTTGCAAAACAGGACATAGTGCCTACCTACCTCGGAGAACTGTGCCTGGCACATGTATTCAGACGTTGTTATTCTTCCATTCCCCCAACGGCCCGGGCTTTAGGGGAAGTCACCAGAAGGAAAAGGGACAGGGGAGGCCCTTTCCTCATTCACAAAATCTGGTTCCCACCCTCTCTAATGTCCCCTCTCCTGTCTTCACATCTGAGAACTCCCCCAGTGGGAGTCAGGGGCTCCTCATAGCCCTCTATTCATCCACCACCATTTCTCATTATCTGAATGATTCACCATTAGGCTCTACTCGGGAGGGGGTTGGTCGTGTTCATGCATGACTGCTGGCTGTCGCTGACTTCTGTTTCTGACACCGTTCAGCAGTTGCAAATGGATGAGAGACACACCAAGACCAACAGGTAAGCCAACCTCTTCTCAGCCCTTGCTTGCTTGACTCTGCGGATCCACCACTGTGTTGAGGCTGCCCGGATACAGTGAACGCTTGACCATTGTATCTGACCAAAGCCGGCGTCACAGAAGAGCCAGTACTGGAGTTGTGTAGAAATAACTGGTTTCTCCTTTATAAAACTAATAAAAGGAAAATCTAATGTAGACATTAGGAGAACTTCAGAGTAAAATGGAAGACATGCATTCTCTGGGGCTTATTTAGTCTAAGAAGAGAGACTCACATTGGGCAGTGGTGTATTTAGATCAATTTAAACTGAATTGTTGATTCATGTTGCAGAGTTTCTACTTCCCTCTGAGGATATGGAAAAGAGTATTAACCTCGTAATCTTTTGAACGCGTACGGCATGTATACAGGGCTTTGTGGTGGGTGTTTGGAATGGAAAAAACAACAGGTCGAGCAATTAGGTTAGGAGAGTGAGGTGAAGGGCTTATTGGGCAGAGTCACTGTCCCACTTTACCCGAACCTGATGGATGTAGTTCCCAAAGACAATCCAGGTGACGGTCCCAGGGCCTTATTTCTTTTGTGAACACAGATTGAATCTCCTTTCAGATACCTGTGGCAACAACTCTACCAATAACCAGCATCTTCAAGCACAGGCTACGTACAGAACCTCTGCAAAGCATTGCCCAGGCAACATGTCATTTAATCATTGCGGGAAACCATGAGGTATGGAATGATCCTAACAATACAGAAGAGTCATGCGAGGCTAAGTCATGTGCCTAAGTCATGGCCAAGGTCACACAGCTAACAATCCACCGAGCCAGTCTTCAAACCATTGGGCATCCAATCCCGGGGTTTTTCCTCATAGCTTCTAGCCAATACCACTGCCCTTGCCCCAACTCGGAGAGTCAGATACAGTGGGAAAAATCTGAGGCCTGGAATCCAAAGATTCACATTAATTACCAGCTTGAGTAGGCCATTCCCTCTCTGTTTCATCACCGATGATATGAGAATGATAACATTATTATCTGCCCTGCCTGTGTCTTGAAGCTCCAAGACATGCAAGAACTTAGGACGAAAGCACGCACTGAACAAACACTGTTTGGTAGGATTTATTTACGAGCACAGATCTGCTGATGGATTTATATGAACTGAGTTGGTATTTAGGGAGCATTTGATATATGACAGTTGAAAGTGATGAAATAAAAATGATGGAGTCTTCCCACACAGATAAGTGGTTGTTATTGGAAGCAGGTAGGGGCTGTCCCATAACCGTGCACTCCGGGCGTGGGGACAGTAATTGGCTCCTACGGGAAAGGCGGACACCACAGACAAGGTTCCCCTTCTGAACACAGTCGTGCTTAGGGCCAGCTCTGCTTACAGATTAAGCAAAGGTAAACCCATTTGAATGACAGGGATTTCCTGGGGATTGAAAAAGACGATCTTATCTAAAGAATACCCTAGAATCTTCGGATTTACTTATTTGTAAAAGACCCTATCACTTACGAGATTTTAAAATTGTATTCTATAGCGTATACATTCTCCTCCCCCTCATCTAGGTTTCTATTAGAAAATGAAAATGTAAAAGATGTTATCTACCTCTGGTCCGTGTGCAAAGCTCTGGGAAAATGTAGTGTTAAAGACAAGAAGGGAACTTGAGATTCAATTTCATCTATCAGATTTTTCCACCCATTTTTAGCATCCTGACTCTTCTTGTCACACAAAATGGCATCCTTAACTATAATAATTTATTTTCTTGCCTGCACAGAGTTGAGTACTAGGAGAGAGGTCTGCAGTTTTTCTCCATCCAGCATCCACTCCTCCTGTAAGTAATAGTGCCTCAATTTTCCTTGAAAACACCACCGCTCTCTCATTTCAAAGTTTTTAGATTTATATATATTTTTTTAAGATTTGGGGGGAGTTTTTAAGATTTTTATTTTTATAGAGAGGGGAAGGGAGGGAAAAGAAGCGGGAGAGAAACATTGTGTGGTTGCCTCTCATGCACCCCCAACTAGGGACCTGGCCCACAGGCCAGGCATGTGCCCTGACTGTCAGGACTCTTGATAGCTGCTCAGGAATAGAAAGTACAAATGAGCTCTGGCTTGTGTGGCTCAGTGGACTGAGTGCCAGGCCTGTGAACCAAAGGGTCACCAGTTCGATTCCCAGTCAAGGCACATGCCTGGGTCTCGGGCCAGGTCCCCACCAGGTACATGGGAGGGGCAACCACACACTGATGTTTCTCTCTCTCTTTCTCCTTTTCGCCTCTCTCTAAAAATAAATCAATAAAATTTTTAAGAAGAGAATTTTTTGAGCTGGATTTACTCCTTTGTCTCACTTTTTCTCTCTGGCTCAATCTTTTCAGAGTCTTACATGTGTCTTATTGAC